CTCTGAACGCTCTACTCATGAAAGAGTTCTAGTGGAGCTGGTCGAACGAGTGCCAAACAGCGGTTGATCGGATAAAAGATAAGTTAACTTCCAAGCTCTTTCCCACACATTTTGATCCTAAACTTCCGATTGTGGTAGCTGCCGATGCAAGAAATTATGGCATCGGACGTGCGTTATCCCACATTTTTCCAGACAGTCCTGAGAAAGCAGTTATCCAGGCAACTCGCTCATTATCAACAGCAGAGAAGAATTACTCTCAGGTAGAAAAGGAAGGCTTGGCTATCATATTCGCTGTTGATAAATTTCACAAAATGCTATACGGTAGAGGTCTAAGTTACTTACAGATCACAAACTATTAATGACCACATTCGGCTCATATAAAGGTATCCCGGCAACCACTGCCTGCTGTTTACAGGGATAGGCTCTATCTCTACTCCATCTCTGCATAAGTCTTGCCTCGAGTATACGTACTGGTATAATTCACCCTATTTATGGTGCACCGTCTGAGTGTGTATCAACATCCTCAACCAGGAAAAAGTGTACATCCATTTTTGACCGGGCATACAACTCATCCGTTATTTCACATGTGGCAGATTTTTATGCAACCAGACATCAGTTGTCCTGGGGCTTAAAAATCACTTCGCATCGTAACCATATATGAAAAACTGGTTAGAATGGAGATGAAGAACTTGATTCTGTTGGCCTGATCAACAATTCGTAGCATGGTTTTCTCAATAAGCGATCGTGCACCACCTGTCAACTGCATTACCTTAATCACACTTCAGAAGCAATCGATTCCGGCTATGCAGTAGTAATCTTGTTTCTTGACGTACACCAAGCGTTCGAGCGAGTATCGCACAAGCGACTGCTACAAACGTTGGAGAACTTTGGGATCCGGGACACACTACTAGGTTGGCTATCGTCATACCAGGATGATCGTCATCAGGTAGTCACTTTAGGTGATTATCGCTCTTCCCTACGCTCAATCACCAATGGAGTCATTCAAGGGAGCGTGCTCGGTCCCTGACACTTTTGCTCTACATCAATGACATCATCACACCTGTAAAACATGATACAGCATTTTTATTTGCTGACGATATCAAACTAGTCCATACGTTTCAGCGTGACGAGCTTCACGAGACATTACTGCTCATTCAAGAGGACTTACATTCCTTTGAGTCATGGTGCTGGACATGGGTGATGAACCACTCGGCTAAGAAATCAAACATCATGTCTTACGGCTGCTGCATCCCCGAAGGATATTTCACCCTAAACAATATACGCATCCCTGAGCTCGGCAGGTTGACTGCAGTCAACCTGCCGAGCTCAGCGAACAATCAGCCAATCAACTAAACAACCTGAGCTACCAACATTTGCTTCTATACGCATCCCTATACAGTTGTCCACGCGAGAACTTGGCATTAGGTACTCGTCTACCTTCAATTTCTCCGAACAGGCCCAATACCAAGTAGTACGTGCCAGACAGTCTATGTTCAACATATCAAACAAAATACACACAACTCGTGTTAGAGTTGAGCTTTTCTAGTTACTCACTCGTCCCGTCCTCGAATACTGCAGCATAATATATGGAAATATGAGAAAGGGTGACAGAGTTGCTGTGGAGCACCTACAGAGGTCATTTACTAAACATCTGATTGGTAAACACTCTGCTATGAGATATCGAGAACGTTGTAATAAACTTCATCTCGAACCACTTTGGATTCGACGGTTGAACCACAACTTGCTGCTACTTTTCAACATGATACACCTGATACACAAAAATACCTATTCCAAGCTGTCTGCATTCAATTTACAACATTGCACAAGTCGAGCACTTCGTAACAAAGGTCTTCATTGTATATACCGAAGGCTAGAACGAACGTCCGCTCTAATTTCTTCCTGGTCAGGTACAGCTATCTGTGGAAGAAACTACCAATAACACTCAGGTCATGTGACAATATGGCAATATTTAGTAGCACACTCGTCAATTACATTGATCTAACTACTGTAAGCTCTATATTCACATGGGAAAATCCCTCGATGAGCTATTCCAAGAGGGGCCCAAAAACATCTAAACACCAATGTTTTCATACCTAGGCCTCAACCATCCGGCAGAATGTTAATACATGAAACGCATATCCCAATACTCCGCCTACACATGTCACCCAAGCAAGAGCATGGATTCTTCTGTACAAATTGATAAGACCACCCAAGTGTTGATAAGACCACCCAATTGGTCTTTGCCTCGCACTGCTGAGGAATAAAACGTTTGTTTATTTATTTATTTATCTGTGCCGTTATAGACACAGTTTCTCTCATCAAGAGAAATATACATATTATCATTATATTGCTCTTTATGTCACTAATTACTCTACCTGTGCCTTTACAAGTTTACTTCTTACCATGCTGTAAGGGTGTGTAATAGATGGATATTCACCCTTTATTGAGTCTAAATGAATCGAATCGAAAAACTGGCTAGCCAACTTTCACTCTCAATGACAATTAATGATCAGTGTCCGCAGCTCTTTAACTGACCCCATACAAGTCGGGTCTGGTGTGCAACATGGCTCAGTTCTAGGGACACGGTTGTTTACGGTATTTCGTAATGAAGTCGCACTAGTAATTGCTCCAACTTTCGTACTGTTTGCTGACGACATCAAGATATGGAATGTCAATTAGCGTTTGTTTCAATGCAACACTTCGATGTTCGATACCAACTGGTGCACATTTGTAGGTAGGTGCCAGCATGGCTAATTCGGTAAAAGACTGAGGAGTTCATCAAACTGATGCGCTGGCGTAGGTCGTACTGCACCTCGAGCATAATAACGGATATAAAAGACAATAAAGACGATTGTATTCATATCCACAGCCTTCTCAATATACTGGTCTAGACTTGGATGATACGAAATAACTGACTTACCCGTCATCGAGTACTACTCCATCGTGTGCAACTATTGTATCGCCGCCGACTGTTCACACCCCACCACCGCAGACAGAACACGAAGACAAGCCAGGATGAAGTTGTATACATGTTAATTCTGCTTCCTTATCTAGGGTGCAATAGTGATAGGAACATTGCTACTGAAACACATGGGGGCCAACCAACAGCCAGGAGACACTGTATGTGGCAGACGAATAAGAAGCCAGAAAAGCAAGTGCCCATTACACGCGTCCGTGAAAACGGTAGTAACTGAAATGAGACCCGGATAAAACCTTCATTATGACCGACTTGTGGTGGCCAGTCAAGTTTGGGGAAATGATGCGTTTAAACAATTGTCAAGGAACACGATAACGAAGCGTATATAGGTAAGAGCTGTCACGAAATGTTTATCTCCAGTGGACTCCCTCCTAACAACTCCAACATACTTGATTCCTGCACAATATTAGCGGTGCTTTACAAATATCTACTCGGATACTTTACAACACTTACCTACATTGAGCACCACACTATCCTTAAACTTATGCTTCTTATTCCGAATCATACATCATTATGCTCAAAATAAGGTGAACATTTGCATTTCCCTAAGTGACCCGTAACCAGTATGTCCACAGAAGGGAGCAGCACCTTTTTCTGATAGTACACCCAAAGCTCTGAAACAAATTATCAGAGAAAATCAGTGTTCTGCAAGAGAACATAATCAATTTGGCCACAAACTTTGGAACAGCGGAAGAAAATCGTTGAATTCTTCCCCTGGGTTATTATATCCTTTCCTATCGCTTTCATATCACCATGAAGCTGGAGTTGAAAGAGCTGGAGTAATCATCACTAATTTCCTCCCTTCTATTACTTTCTCGCTGCACTCAGCCGTGTTTACTTGGAACCTCTCATATCCACATGTAAGCTGCAATGTGAATGTCAACCAACTTTCCTCCCAAGCCACTGCTCTACTAGTACTATCTGTTCTTACTGCACCATGCTTAACGTTAGGAGATTGTGTCCAGCTGAAAAGCAAGGGGTAATCAATTTGGAATCCCGATTCTTAGTACCCTAGTCCTAAAATGTCTCTAGGTGTTGTCTAGTATGGTCCACGTGACGACGCAGCATATATCTGTAAGTGGATTTCGCGTCCTTGCTGCGACATCGACGCCCAGGCAACTTTAGTTACATCTAAGAACAACTAAAATAGCTAAACAAGTGAGTACATTTAAATTTCTACTCACATTTCCGGCTGACGTCCTGAAGTAATTGTATTAGTCTTTGCTAACGAAATAACTCAGCGCAGGCTACAAGTAATTAAGACAAAGTAATAGTGATAAGCTCAGTTGTTGATACAGTCAACAGGCGGAAGCGGAACTATGTCACATGTCACGTGCGCCGCACTGTGTTAAGTAGTTCCGGACATGGTAAGCTAGGTCAATGAGACGTGTAAACGAATCAGACCGTCAGGTGATATGACCGAGGCCGGATGCTCAAGGTCATAGCTTGCAAACAAATACGCAGTCGAATATGAGCAATGGGACGGCTTGACAGCTGTCACTGGAATCACACAGTCTTTCGGGCTGAATTCAGCCACTTCGTATAAAAACCATACGGCGGATGATCTCTGTGATAGCAACAAACAGAAAATAATCCTTTGAAAGTTCTATTGGGACCGATCGAGCCTAAACAAATATCACAGGACCCTATAGAAACCCCGGCATATTTAACTTATTTCGATGTCCCCTGACTGTTGACCTCTGTATTCGAACCTATTCACTTATTCCTATGCAAGAGCATGAAGCATTTGTATGTGGCCCTGCATGGGATTGGTTTCTCGCGACATCAACATATAGACCAGTTCTTTATTTAAGCACTAATTTCCAATGTATGTGCACGCCATCTGGCTATTTTTCGCTTAAATGCTGCATATTTACATTCGTTCGCACTATCTGGATCCATGAGTTCGGAGCAGTAGTACAGACCTTATGCTGCATGTGGCAACTCGTTTGTTTCAAGAACCTTTGTCCTAGGGAGTTCAACGGTAAACAAGCACTATTGTCTTTGTTCTCTTCTCCCAAAGGTATGGAACAGGTTGCCGAGGCGGTCGACGCCGATGAAATCTGCTTTGACGGTGCGTTGTGCCAGCGTATTGACGTTCCAGCATTAATATCCATCCTTCATCGCGACCAGTTATCCATGGTTGTTCTCACCGTTGGCACCGGGAACCGTGTGGAGGCTGAAGGACAAGATAGAGAGAACATTAGCCTACCAGGCAAGCAAAGCGATCTGCTTCAGAAAACGTTGGAACTGACAGACAGCATATACGACGTCAATCCCCTTACTCCGATCCCTGTCGTCATTTTGGTTTTCAGCACTGGACCGGTGGATATACATCTGGCTGTTTCGCATCCAAGAGTAAGACCAACAAAATTGCTGATTAAATACATCTGGGTTAGCAAAAGCATCTGAGATAACATTTATGATCACCAATTTAACAATCTTCCAATATGAATTTGCCTAGAATCTTTAGCAGCGAATAAAAGAAAAATTGCAACTAATCTGCAGACAAGTACAAGAAGGTGCTACAATTTAGTCGCAATATCAGCTGTTGTTCCTGTGTATATATAATGGTGTTTAAGCTGACAGTGGAAAGGGGAACAACCTACTGGTGCTGTTGATACCAAAGCTCCACCATATTAAAGTGTGACTTCTGCTACACAGTATCTCCATTTCTGGTTCACACGATGTTTTGTTCACATAACATCGTCCGGCCCCTGATGCATCCTATGGAACCACGATAGGGCTGATAATATGGTTAGTTTAGTAAACTTTACTGATTGCTAAGCCGCTTGCCTTAACTCCCTACCATTATGCTATTTAACACCACCGCTATACGTTTTCGCAACCAATTGCATCTATAATACTTCAAATTTCCACTTAGGAAAATCATTTTCCTCTATAGACCTATCAAACTGGTCCTTAACTATCAGGTCGCGCGTCGCAATTCATCCACACCACGTGTACTACAAAATGACCCTCAAAATGTATTCACAACACTTTCAGCTTCCTCCTGAAGGAAACCAATTTGGTCCATAGGTCTCTCAAAATGGGCCTTGACGCATCAGCTCATACCAACGGGCACAAACATCTCCAAATGGTACTGTTCACTGAGTGACCTGTCCCAAACCAGCCAATGGCATCCCACTCTGTGTATTCATCTGTTATACTATCGGGTTATCTGGGTCTGGTCACTCAATGAAAAGTACGCATTTTCTAAGAGGGTTTGCACTCGTCGGATGCAATATGAAAGCGTTAAGGACAATCTTGAGAAATCTATAGAGGAAAATGATTTGAAAGCGTTATGGATGCGATTGGCTGAGAAAAGACATTGTCTTCTACCGGCTTATGGTACCGCCGTTTGTACGCGTCTGGTCTCCCATAGATGAGGCTACTCGTAAACATATAGGTGTGACATATAGTTGCATCCCGAAAAAGCAACAGATCAGAGCAGCATCAGAAAGTATGTATGGAGAAAACTGCCTGCGCATATGCGCAGCACAATTAAATCGATAGATGTTCGCATTGTAACCAATCAAATACATCACATGACTGACGAACGAGTGCTAACTAGAAGTGTGACTAGGATAAGCGAATCGAGGGCAAAAACAAAGCAAATTATTTGAACACGATATTGTCCCCTCCTCTGTTCGTAAAAATATAAGCACTACATGTCCAAGGACGATTTGATTTAATGTCAGCAGCCCGAAGAATTGTCATGTGGTGTTACCAGTTAAAGCGTATTGGTAGACAGGACGGCGTATCCGACCGGAAAGTCGTAAGTTTGTATTAGTTTGTACCGAGCGCTGTGTTGTAGGTGATTCGTCTGTTCAATAGCACGCTGGGAAAGCGCTGCATGCAGCCGTCTTACGTTCATCTTTCTCCTATCAACCAACTTGTAAGTTCTTGGCGTGCATGTATTGGAACACGACACATATCTGCCTCTTGATGTCTAAGGGATAGGCTAATACGGGGCTCTATGGCAGCGTTACCGTGATGGGAACAATGTCTTACCTTTCAAAGGCTATTCTGCCACGTGCTTGTATACCTAATCAACACTACACTGGGCATAAATTAAGCATGCTTTGCTAAGTACTCAGAGTCGATTGTCAGGTCTGCTTTTATTAAAAAACTATTTCGAATATGATCATAATGGAACAAAAGATAGTTGTTTATTTCCTAGTGAATTATGGACAGCATGGGATTTTATGCCACTTATGATTGAAGCGGCTTGGTGAGCTACTTGCAACAAGCGAGTAAGTAGAAAAACCAATTGCTGACCGGGGTAAGAAAGTTACGGTATATAACGGATAATTAAGCAAATGATTGACAAGTTTCATAGGCAGTGTGGGGGTGGTAAGTTGCCACACCTACTTGATGCTAGAGGATCGAGCAACTAAGTTAGATAAGCATGAAACCAAAGGTCTGAATGCCAATCGATCATTTCTAATGCAACCTGAGATAATTACAGGGGCTGAATAGATACATACTAGATTTGAGCTGACATGGAGAAAGCTGCTGCGACGGCCAGGAATGCAATAGCAAGAAGAAATGCGCTGCATTTGTGAGTGCTTCTCATTCATAGAGACAAGCTTATCTTTCTGTTCTTCAGATAATAAAATCTGATCGAGACTCAAGCAGAGATTTTGGTTCTCTGAGAGCTTTCTCTACGAGATGGTTACGGTGGAAAGTACAAGCTGAAGATGCGTGTCACTGGACTGACTAGGAGTTTTGCGGTAGAACTGATGTAAGTAATACCATATAGTTTAAAGAGCACCTGAGTACACCGCTAGTTTTGAGCCAATCTCTTCATTCGATTGGCTTTGGCTTGTTGTCAGGTTGTTGTTTGAATACTGACAATAATAATAGATAATAAATTGCCAACCGTACGCCGTAGCAACACTTCGCTGATACGCGAACACCACCGGTCGCGCGTGGGCTGAGTATACCGCGAGGACGCCCGCCCCCATGCGGATTCGAACAGGTGACCTTATGGTTGCGAACCAGGCACGCAGACCACTCAGCCACAGGCCGACTTGAACACTGACAAGTTGGGATCAGGAATGCCTTGCGCTAGGATGGCATCCTATGACTGTGACACCCGAAGTGGAAAGATAATTTGTCGACGTTTCAACTGTCAGCCAGTGGCCGAAAGGATTGCGCACTCTCCTCGCAGTTCGGAGGCCACCGGTTGCAGTCTGCGAAGGTACGGGCGAACTCTCTGTAAACCTAGCCCAAGCACGACCGATGGTAGTCACCTCCCAGCGAACAGTCGGTACGGTGTGTGTCAGCGTATTGCTGATGATACCTTCTCCTCCTCTTTCAACATTCCATCTTACTGTAGTGCTTGACTAACATAAGCTGAAAACCTCTCAGAAAGTTGCATTGACTGAGCTTCAGCTGTTGCATGCGAGTGTTGATATGGGTTTTAAGAAGCTGATACAACATTTGAGATCGTCCTATCGAAACTTATTACGTCCACTGTACACTACGGCCGGTGTTGGTAGAGAGGGTGGGGAAAGCCTGAAATGTTGTCCTGTTTTGTACCATACAGTCTCGAGCTAGGCGCGATAGCGCTTTTTCTAGCGATGTCAAGATTGGATAGTGTTATGGGGGAGCACTTTTCCCCTAGAAATGTCTCACAAGTTGTGATCTGACATCTTACTCATGTGAGTGGACAATCCAAACACATCCACGCCCATGTCTGATACACCCACACTTTCACTTGCTTCGACACGCTCACAGTGAGTATAACTTCTCTTGTCAACTATACGTACGCGACCACGAGTACCGGGACCAGATTCTTCGTCTTTTCCTTGTATTCGCCTCCGCAGGCTATGTCGCCAGTCTCAGTATAAAATTTAGACTGTACGGCCATGTAATCGCCTTACCTCTGGGTGGCCAAAGTGCTCTAGTGAAGGCCAGTATACTCTTCTCTCGGGTTGGGTTGCGGGTGGAAAGCTCTACATATCGACTAGTGCGTCCTGGCTCTTTCGGGGTACAAGTTACATGAGGTTCGTACCGTTCGTGCCGACCGTATCGCTGCAGCCGACTATAAATCGTAGCAACCGGGACGTTATTTTGAATATGGTATTTCACTTGCGAGTTCAAATAAGCGCAAAGCAGTTGCGAAATAGCTTTTGTCAAATATTCGGGATCCCCTTCTCAGAAAACCAAGGTGTTTACTTGCTTTTTTGATGCTTTCTTTGCACGAGGACCCCTAGATTGCTCTCACTTGAAGCTCGCTACGGAATTGCTACTCCTAGCCGGTAGCCGTGAGTGCTTGATGACTCCTGCATAGAATTTTACACCTGGCCGAGTTGAACTGGATCATGTTCTCCACTGACTATATGTAAACTAAACGGAAGCCACTTGGCAGTGTTGTGACCTTTCATCGGATTGACGCCACGACATATCTTCAGTTCATCAGCGAAGAGTGGGAGATCTCTAGTGAGGGCCCTCACAAAATCGTCCATAAAGAACTTGCGTAGGTGTAGTCAGAGTATCGAAAATTGGGGTGTGCAGTTCAAGGCGACTCCGGTCAAAGACCGCATATGTCGAACTTAGTCATGTTAGTAATCGAACCACCTTATATTAAGTCATATTGTAGTGGAGCAGAAAGCAAGCATCACAGGCGGAACAGACAAAGCGTTGAAATTAAGGAAGAAAAAATCTAACTAGGGCAGCAGGGACAAAAATTGGCAAAGCAGTTCGGAACTTACGTAACAAACCGGGAAAGGTCAACAAGCAGCAAACAATATCAGACCCAGACTGAAAAGAACGAGGGACATAGCGCTGAAGAGCGCGATTTTCCGGAGAGATTGGTCTTTGTCCAATCCTCCAGGAATCACCCCAAGGAAAGAGACGCCAACCCGATTAAGCAAGTCAAAAACAGTAGAACAAATGCAGCCCGGTCGGAACCTAGCGAGCGGAAACAGACATACGAGGTCAAATTTAAAAAAAGCACCTGGTGAATTGACTGAGCTCGGGGCATGAATGTGACGCCGAGAGAAAGGACAATGTCTTGTGCGTGGTGGGTTAGAATCGTCCTCTGTACATGCGCTTGCGTGATAACCTGTGGATCTGTTATTCGATGACAATAAGGACTGTGCTTCCATACCGCCTCGTTCGCGCTACAATATATTCTCTGGTACTGAGCGCAGTCACTTTTAGCTGTGGGAAAATATCCTGTGAAATTCAGTTGCCCATTTGTCCGCCGAGCTTAGAAATTGGTTTACAAAGTTTTCATCCCCATGCGAGGTGGCATCGTCAATAAATAAATAAGTAGCTTGTATATTACTCGACTATGCGAACTGTTCCATAAAAGGAGCAGATCAACTAATGGCACAACTTTTCCA